TGCCGACGGCCTTTCAAATAGCGTCGTTTTTCATCTTTCTTAGTTTATGTGCGTCAGTTAAATACTCAACTGTTTCTGTTATGGGTTGGTAACGTTAAAGCATAAGCAACGATAATTTGATGCTAACGTAAGTCCAAAATGGTTTGCAAGCGTGCCTGAAAAATTATGCAGTGGAGGAAATGGGTATAAAAGCGAATACTGACGAAACTAAACGCCAAAAACTTGCAAAAAAGCCTTTGTTCTAACAAATTATTCAGAAATGGAATTTCGGATCAGTTTTCTCTGCTGTTCATCGTACCAATCCGCCAACGGTAGTACGGCTGCATAAATTGTAAACATACATATATCCATTTGCAGCATCGTGCAGCGCTTCAATATCATTCCTTCGTGCATTAATTCTACTTTGCCAAGCTGGAAGGCGATATCGAGCACCAAGCACCGTCGGCATTTGTGGCGGGCGGGCTTGCAGGTGGCCAGTCCCGAGTCGGTATGTTGGCAGCTTGATAGGGCCTACATGGGAGTACTCTCTTTGAAAAAGGCATTACGCAGCCGTCTGCTCTGGGCTGGCCACTTTCTGTCTCAAAAGCTATTAACCTTAAAGTTTTGATTTGAGCGCGCCAAATGTGCTTTATGTCTTCACGATCGCTCAGCGAAAAACTGTAAGAAGCAAAAATTAAGAAGAATCACCACCAAATCCAAAAAATTTGAGAGCAATTATTGTTAAAATAATCGACTGAAGACAGACGGAAGACAGAAACCGTTGCTGAGAGGATGTAGCCCTAGAACTTGAGGAATATGAGATAAAAAGATAAGCCTTAATCCGGTGTCTATTCGTTTCGTCTGTCAAAACATCAAAGGGCTCCGGCCCGCTATCAGTCGCTGCAGCTTTCACAGATATTTCACAAGAGTAACATCCGCATTGCAAAACCACAGGCCAACGATTCGTGAGCAATAGATAGCACGGATATATTTACGAGAAGATGAGACTATCAGTAGCGCTACAACTGTAGCAAAATGCAACTGCTCTTTCGGAAAGTCTCGAAATGGGTTTGAAGCTCTGAAAGGAAAGAACATCGTATTTTCACATCGGTCGACTGTGTTCAACATTAATTATATACACAGGCTGCACCGTTAAATCTGTATGACCGTGCCAATGTGAAAGTCGATGAATAGATTTTATGGAAGATAAACTCTCATTGAGAATGCGTCGGTATTTCATGAGTTAGTCAATCAATAGCTGTTCTGAATTTTCAATGCCATTGATCCTTATTGATACTTGCCATTGATACTCCCCTACCAATTGCTACGACGAATGCCATAGCAATTACTAGGAGCTCACACCCCTCGCTGAGCTTTGTGCCCTTTTACGTACCCAATTCCATACCCCTCGGAAGGGCGTGGACGGGGGGATACCCGCTGAAGCCCCTGAAATCGATAACAATCGGCGCAGGGACCCGTTTACAAGAAATCTAACTTCAGTATTACCGCCACGCAACCGTAAATCCAGTGATATTGCCGTTGTGGTGCAGCGAGTTGGTGGACGGTGGGCTCTCTAGCAGCGTGACATCTAGCCACAATCTCAAGAAGCAGTACATTGACTTTCTCCTGGACACCAGTACATAGATATGCCGAGGAGGATACCCTAGAGAAGAAAGTCGTAATAGCAGCCCCGTGATAAAAATGGAAATGTTGGCGGGAGATGGTGATCGCTACTCTTTGCATGCCTAACGAATTCTGGCAGTATCCTGACGAGTAGATTATGGTGCTGTTGTTTAGAAGAATATTGAGAAAATCCTTACGGTCGTGGGAACATGTATTTTATTATTGGATGAACTGTGGCTGCCTTACCAGCTGCAAAATTTGCATTGATGGAGATTTCATAGTAAACCAAACTGAAAAGTAATGCGCGCTATCACGAGTTTCCCGACTTTATATATTTGCGAATCAGCGTGCTCCATCATTTCAGAGGTTCCGTTAGGGGGTGGGTTGCTCTGGGGATCGTATATAGCCAGGAGAGTTCTCTTTTCAATGGTGCTGATTCCCTAGCTGGTCGCGCCTGCACCGCTAATTGATCAAGGGTGTCCATTCCATCCTCTCTCAATGCAGAACCTTGAAAAATTCCGGTAAAAATGTATATGGCTTGCGCGAAAGGGTCTCATGATTAGCGAAATCCTCTTACTGATGTGTCGTGCTGGCATCGTCGTCCACCCGAAATACGGTCGAACTTTTCCAGGAGAGGCTAGGGGCTTGGGCCATAAGGCAGACATCAGAGCTAAGAGTCCAGGTCCAGAAGACGTTCAAAAATCGACCAACGACGCTCAGCCTGCAGTATCTACAGTGGACTCATACGCGCGGTAGCAATGGGATGTAGAGGTCCATGAGGGCTTCCAATGGTTCTTCGACTACAGTGCATAGTGGTTCGCAAATTGTTACGATACCTTTTGAACTTACAGATTATTTGATAACTAAAAATATTATGTAAGGTTTCTATAAAATAAACCATCTTAACATAGCAGTGTACACAACGAAAATGAAAATAACAATACATCGCAATAAACAATGTATAAATAAATCAAGCAACGTCAAACAAACTGCATAGAATACTAACGCACTATTAATACTAACATTAAACTATAACTTCTTTACTGAGGCTGTCACTGCCGATCCACAACAAGAAAATTGGCTAAAGCAGCCTAAGTTTGATGGTATCAGGCAATCTACAGATTTGAGAGCAGTTAGCTGATAGAGAAACCCATGTGCTTTTCTGAATCCTTGAGAATATCACGGTCCCTTGTTATCAAAATTTTTTTAGTCACTACAGTAGCGCGAGCGGAGGTGGTGTAGTGGCAAGTGGCGCTTTACAACTCGCCACGGCCCGGCTTCAAATCCCGATTGACTTTCCGCCCAGCGCCAACCAAGCCTTCTAATCCCGCGGCACGGTCAATAGGTACCAGTTTTGCCTGTGAGGATAAAAACTCTGACCTGTACATCGGGGCTGGCCACCGCAAGTCATTGTTTAGGCCACAATCGCATTCATAAAGCCACTTACGATTCTGAATGGAAGCTAGAATGCTTGCCGCATCCGCAAAGGGAATGGTCAATAGCGAAGACTCATCCGTTTATCCTTTTATTTTACTGTAAGCGATCTACCGTAGCAGTTTTTGGCATGTTGCCCATGGGAAACTCGTTCAATGTTGCTTTTTGAGTCATTAAAAACGAAGGTTTTTCTTCGCAGGTTGACAGCTTCACTTCGATTTCTCTAAAGCTTTTGGACGAGTGCCAAATTTTCGTGCCATACGTCTTTGAGCTGTAACACTAGCTTCATTACTGAGATCGTGTATATGGCGTCTCGCCGGTCAGAGGAAGAGACCAACCAAACCTAGAACCTCCCAAACTTGAGAGGAAAGCTCCTCTTTATGGGTGGACACGTCTAAAGGAAGCAGTGAAAGCGCTAAATACCCTCTTCTCACCGAACTGCCTCGGGATTAGTCCACTTTTCCATTGTTTCACCCCTCTGTGAATCTGGAAACGTAGGATGATTTCAGAATGCGCTTTCTAATACTCTTCTACCTCTTACTGTGGCCAATGCTATATCATACTTGGTATCGTGTCGGCTATAATAATATCCTCGAGGAGATCGTGATTCTCCATGGATGGGGAATCACCGGACGACGATTTGACGATGATTCAGGTTTCTTATATTAGTATAGGATACAGCTTCTCTCAAAGTTGCTACGCACGTTTTGCACTTCAGTAGCGCACTTTTTTTTTCGAAATATAATCGCACTTACTAACAGATGAACCCGACTGGAGAAAAGCAATAATTGTCCTATCGCGTGAATATCCGGTGAGTCTTTATGATGACTGCTTTTTTCCTTTGGAAAGTGTGTACTTGAAAGCTTATGTCTCCAGATAAGCACACTGGACGAGGAAACCCGACTCTGATTCATAAGGAGTATACGATTTGAGTGGATGGCAGCGAAGATTCACTGTGCTTTGTCACGGACGTTCCACCAATTAATTCGTCATGTAGATAAATCAAATAAAGCATTGCTACCTATCAACCTATCAAAGCAAAGACAAATCATTCAGTCTCTGCGTGCACTGGTCGGCCACACTTTGGCATGCGTCGTGCATTCTGCTTCAATTCTGAGTTGTTTTGGTATTTGAAAACCAACCACTCGTAACAAAAGTCGGCATGGCTACATTTGTAGAGTGGTCAAGCATTTTGCCGCTAAGCCGGGTCTGCCACCAAACATCCGAAGAAAACAATTTTGAATACAAGCCAAAACATCTCCGTGGGCCCTAGTCCTGACTACATGCGAGATGAACAGGGTCGCGAGATGCTTGGCATGCCACGTTCTTCGCTCAAATGTGAACGGAGACGGGCTGTAGGGGTAGTGGCGTACGAGTTTCATCTCCTTGCTTCACCATCGCTGCGAACGCCAGCCGCACGCTCAACCACAGCCAAACGCGCTACTTTTCTGCGTTCTCTTAGTTCTGGTTGGTCTCTTCCTCTAACTGTGGTTCCCTATGTACGGAGAGATTTGTAGCGAAGCAAGTATTACACCTGAAAGGCATATGGCCCAATAATTTGCTGCTCGGTCTAGAATGCCAGCGGGGTGATATATAGTAGGGAGAATGGCAAAAATTGAAGTAAAGCGATAAAACACCTACGAAGATACGCCTTTCTTTCTCAATGACTCAAAAAACAACTTTGAAGAGGTTCCCATAGGCATCTTGCCAATTAATGCCACGGTAGATCGCTAAGGTAGAACCGAAACCAACTCTGAAAAGTAGGGAAGGTGCTTGATAGTACCAGCCCATTAAACTTACAACTAGGCTGCTGAGCCAATTTTCTTGCTGTGCTTCGGCAGCCTGCCACCTTAATAAAGCAGTAATTAATTAGATGTACTATTGATACTGCGTAGTAATTTGATGCAATTTGGCTGGTTGAAGCCCTTATGGGATTTTATAAAATACCATCGCTACTCGCGTATGAGTATGTCGACATTTTGCAGGCTGAGCAGCTGGTCGATTCTTGACTGCTCTTCTGAACTGGACTACTGGATCTTATGTCTGCCTTATGGTCCAGCTTCCTAGGCCAGTGCTGGAATCTCAACAGAATCCAGTAAGTATATAGGTACGGAAGGTTGTGAAGTAAAGGTCACTGTAAGAATACTCAAGTCCCGGTACTCACAGTATGAAGTACCGCTGAGATGAGAGGAATTTAGCCAGCACGACACCACCATTAAGGCAGTTGGCACGATGGTTCCCTACTTAGCCTAAAAATGCTAGTGGACTGTAATAGTGGGGAAAATGCTCTGCGACGAAAGAACGGAAGTGAAACGGTCAAAATCGTGCGAGAAAAAGCCTCCGTTCTCAGTGACTTGTTAATCGATTTCGGACGAGTTCCCCGTAGGCATCTTACCAATCACCTCTACCGAAGATCCGGCTGCATATGTGTACCCATGTATGCATACAGCATCACGGCCGCTTTATACCACTCCCTTCACTTCATAATTTGCTTAGGAATGAATGAATACGAGCGTCAAGAACGGTCGTCCGTTTGTGGGCGGGCGGGCGTGGCGGTCGTTTGGGACGTATAGTTGTGGCTTGATAGGGCCCTTATAAGTACACCTTCCTAGGGGGAACCGCTATGCAGCGCCTGCTCAAGGTCGCTGAATTCTATCCTTCCACGAGTATTGATCCTAGCCGTCTTGCGGGATTTATCGTGCCAACTGCCTTTAAGAGTTTCTCCGCACGACCTTTTTCCACAACATACACTTAATCCCTGCAAGCGATAGGGCGTGTCAGGCGCGCGTATTTGGAGCGCACCGAGACGACCTCATTTCAGAATTGATCCAGCATCCTCTGCAGCTGGTTGCAAGTCTGTCCTGGCTGCGCTCCCCCCCCCGCTGACCTTACTCCCCATGAAATGGATTAGGACTATCTACCATCTTATCAAATTTTCAAAAATTTTGTTGCCGAGCATGGAGGAGTTGCGGAAGCTTCTGACCAGCTGTCAGAAGTAGCAATTTTGCCGCGTCACCAATTAAGAGAGAAACCATCACTTGAAAAGAAATCTTTCCTGGCTATACAGATCCCCAGAAATAAACACCTCCCCCCTTCCCGAAGGAATTGTAAAATGATAAAGAACGCTGATTCACAGAATACAGGGCACATCATTGGTTGAGGATTTTGGTCGAGTCCGTACGACCCCTCCCTAGAAGGTGGATCGATACAACCCCCCTTTTTTCCAAGGTTTGCTTTTTCCATCTTATCATCTGGCAACTAGCGTGCGGCGGCGCTCGACTGGGCTCTTGCTTTCACCGTATAACACCGTTTGGTGAAGCAAAAATTCTTGGCAGAGAGAATGGCTGTGTGGATATACACCGCACAGGATGCTATGCTCCATCCTACAGACTGTTGTGTTAAAACTCGCGCGCGCGGGAGGAACCAGCGGCCATGCCATTTGAATAACTTCCATTCGAATCTGCACGCTTCGCGCTTTGATTGAGTTGGAGCGCGTTTTTTCAGAACCCCTTGAGTGAAGTAACTTCTCTTTGAAGAGTTGTAACTTACTCAAACGCAAACCTTGGGAAAGAGGAAAATGCGGTTGTGTAGGAAAAAAAATTGAGCTTCTCGAGAGGTATTAAAATGTTCATAAAGGTTGCCAAATTTAGAGAAAAATTCAGCGCTGAGGTTTACTTGGGGTTTTTCTAAGTTTGATGCACACTGTCCCTTTTTTAACGAATATAATCTTTCAAAAACTGAAGTGCTTGCAAATCTAGACCAAGCTCAAATATTAGAGGATCTCTCCTTCCTAGTAACTGCTTCACTTGTTTCTGAAGTTCTTGGGATTCATGAGACAATTATAGGATTTAGGGAGATTCACGGCCAACCTGCAGTGTTTACAGTGTTGTCCGCTGCGGATGGTGGGGCGTGTCCGTGTCCATGAACCGCACGCCGTCCACCACTTGCTGAGCCCGATAAAGGAGATTAGTTGCTGGAAAACGTCTGATACGAACGATATGATAGCCCTGTCGTTTGTGAAAGAAAGAAAAACAGGTTGGCACCGTACCGTACGCGGACCCACCCCATCAACCGAAAACCAGGGTAGAGTTGTACTGTCACCTACTACTTACGAAATGATGTCAACTTATTAATATGCCCAGGTGGTTTTGTATTACTTCAGTTGATGAAGGTTTTGTACTATTTTTTCACATACCCGGGTTCCCTACAAAGCAACTACCTTGTCTTTCACCTGCGCAAGATTCGGTTGAGTTTTATCATACTGGACCGTGAAGACGATGAGTGGCACAATTTGCTGGCTGCACCTCCCCCGCTATACCCTGGGTACACTCAATTTCATCATGACAAATACTGGTTAACGCCGCAAAGCTTTGCTAAGGCACACGTAAATGCCAGTGAGCTAAGAAAATGCTGAGTCCTTCTCGGTGCTGAGTCGCCCAATAGAAGCTTAAAGGTGCAGATCTGGATCTCGCGTGGAATCAAGTCTTTTGCCCGTAGCTTAAAATTAGCACTCTCATTATAGCTGCAATTCAGGTGAAAACGATTAAACATTCAGGGACCATCCTTAGCCTTGTCAGCTCTGCTGTTGTCAGTCCCCAGAACAGCGACTTGAAAAGTGAATTACTTGTAAGGCAGCGTCCAGATTTCGTGACGGCAGCGCTTTGGTCGCGCGTTCGACACGATCGACACGCATGCTTTCAGTTTCATCAATGGAGTCGAATGCGTGGCCGAAGCGCTGTCGTCGCGAAGTCTGAACACGGCCTAAGCATTCTGTTGCTTGCACGACTATATGTATACAGGGCAACTCTAAACCCTCGTCAGGAAAAATCTTGCTCTCTCCACTTCGTTGCGAGCTCATTAGTTGTCCTGCTGCTTTTGGATATCTTTTTTAACAAGGATTCAGTGCAGTAATAGCAGTAGTCAGATGATAACGTTTGGAGACTGCTTGAATTCACCAGGTGCAAAAGTTCGTACTGTATTGCTTACTGTCGTCCTAAATCGTCGAGTTTCCGGAAGCAATTTTCTGCTACGGATTTTGTTCGTGCTTTTGCATTCTTCTAGTACTCCATGGCATTAGTAGAAGATGCGAAGAAATGATTCTTGAGCCAGGGATTGCACAGAGGCCGCAAGGTCTCGATTTGCCGGCAAGTCCAGAAGATACGTGTGAGGCTGTGCGATTGCCAGAAATGGGCTTTATTTTGGGTGGTTCTTCAAGTTCTTGCGTCACTTATGAGGTTCTGGTTCATAAGCGCAAACTGATTGCGGGGTTCGCCACTGGGAACAATCAATACTGCTCAGACCCAGGCTGCGTTGCTTTCTTCTGGGTTGAGTGCTTTGCCGTACTATGGTGGAGAAAAATGCTGACTCGTGCTACGCTAGCCCTGGAACGCACTACATTTGAAAAAACGCATTTAATGGCTGCGACGATCTGAATCGAATCAGAGTGCCTCTCCGAATTTGGCCCTTTGACATAGATGAAAACCTGCAGAGGGAGTGCACCGTAGCTGGAGGGGACCTTGTGAGGAGAAATTTCCGATCGTTTATGACCTGCATCTGTACATGCATAGAAAGCCCTCTAGCGGGGTTCTCGTTTTCGAGATGAAATTGCAGTGGCTATCAAAACCACAGTACAGTGCTTTCAGTAGAGTACCAAACCATTACCGTATCCAAAAAAGGTCATAAAGAAGCAATCATGCACAGATCGCATGTGTCTTATGCAGATCACGAAATATCCTGGATAGTGAGACCGCAAACACTATGTACGGCGCCCAGGGACCCTAGAAAGAGGATCTCTGAGTTCCGGATTGCCCTGAGCAGGTTTTCCTTACATGCTCCATATCTTTAGGGAGACTCTTCTAATAATGTCCATGTTGTTCCTTACTGTAAGCTCGGCATGATGTCAAATGCAT